GGGGGGGGGGGGGGGGGGGGTTGGTGTACTCATGTTTTGCATGCCATAGTTGTTAGGCCATTGACCACGCGTCCTCGATGCAAAGGGGGTTTCGTGTACCATCTTGGTATGTGTTTGTAGAAGGGCGATTCCCCTTGTGCTGTGCGTGGGCCCGCGCGCCCTCTCTACTCGTTACTAACAAGGCCAACCTCGCGCCACTGACGACAAGCACCCTCAACCCAACAGCGGGAGGGAGGGGTTCAGCTTTACGGGAACATTCCGTACAAGTGGCATGTTGTGTTGTGTTGTTGTGTTGGCTTGGCTTGACGACTGGAATTTCTAGTCGGGCGCGTCTCCCGAAAACATGAGGTGACGGTGATGCCATCGTGCACGCTTGCGGGGTCGTCGTGTGTTTTCGAGTAAGTGGTGGTACGCCTGTTCGTGCCTGGGACAGTCAACTTGCTCGACCCAGCAGTGGTATGCTAGATGCCGTCGTTTTGCGAAGGCGAACGACATTGCCAGAGTTAAAACAGTGGTGCCAAAGAAAAAACTTTACGCAAGCAGTATGGTACACGTGTAGCAGCAGCAGCAGCAGAGTACGCCCCCCGTTTGTAGGCAGAAAGTCATACGTGCAGCAAACCCCATGTTTAAACTTGTTATGTGTCAGCCCCCCCGTTGGGCCGAGCTTGAACGCTCTCAAAAGTGTCGGCGCAGTACAGCGCGGCGTTGGAAAGGTCTCATCCACACCATGACGAACACGCATCATTCGGACATTCGCACTCTTACGGCAGTGGGGCATTCGAGAAATCAGCAAAAACGGGGGTTGATATACATGTACCATCGTCAAAGTCAAACACGACAACCCTCTTGGCAGTGCGGCGCACGACGACAAACGACAATCTCGGCGTCTGCACACACCTACCCACCAGCGAGTTTCACGGCCTCTGCCAGAACCGACAGCTCTCCCTCAGGCTGGGGAGGCTCGAACCTCAGATCTGGCGGCCCTTGCTCCTGACCCACCAAAGAAAAGCCAAGCAAAGCGAAGGTAACGCGAAGCAAAGCGGAAGCAAAGCGAAAAGGCGAAGCAAAAGAGCGAAGACCGCCGAGAGGGTGAAGAAATCCGCAACAAATTGTTGGGTTCCTGCATGAGGGTTACAAAAACACGCACTGTCTGTGGTTGTGTGTTGGCATACGTAGCCTCCGTTGTGTGTGTCGTTGACTGTGTTGGTCTTTCCGTGATGCTCCTTGTCCCCGGAGGCGCAACGGATGGACCAAAACGGTACCATACCATGGTATGCTAATTGCGCCTCACGCAACAAGATGGCTTATCGCTGCTTTCGTGTATGTGAATGGCCGATCAAACAAACACGTAGCCGGCTAGCGGGGTTGGATGCAAAAAACAAAAACACGCAACACGTTATTTACTCAACCTGTTCGCTTGGTCGATGCTAGACAAAGGAAACGCATTGCTCAACACACATTTTGCGCGCGGTTCAAATTCCTTGCACGCCCTTCGCGAACAAAACCCAAACACAGCAGTTCTTGTGGTTCGCTTATGCGTACTCAGTGCGGTAGTCGCTCTCGCGCACGGGATAAAAATAACAATTGGTTTTGGGACTCTCCGGCATGTTTTCTTGTACGGTCGAATCGTGGTTTGAAGTGGGTTCAACACCATTTACCGGTGGCGAACGACACCGACAGCAGCCAGCACAAGTTGTGGTCGGGTACATGTGTCTGCGAGTCGATTGGGCCTACTGTTGGTGGGGTTCAAAATTCGCAGCACTTGTAGGGGATCACCGACGTGACATGGCGTTGGCTCCCGCACAATACATGCGTACATAGGGCAAAGCAGGAATCTATCGGTCACGCCCCCCACGAAGGCTCCCCCGAGCCGTCAGCCTTGACACACCTCGGGCTGTCGGAAAACTCGGATGACCCCTGGAATTCTGATGGACGTGTCCTCCATGATCGCCTTGTGGTCCGCCTTGTCCTTGGCCTCGGCTGCGTCCGTCTGTTGAACGCACAGCGCATGATGAGTGGAAGAGAAAGCACGACAATAAAAAAACTGTTGGTGAGAATGCCCTTAGAGGACCGCTGAACCCTTCCCCTCCGGGTGCACTTGGAGGGGCTCGCCAGAGGAGGATAGGCATGGAGGGCCTCAGGGAGCTGCCATCGATTGCGACTCCCTCCTCCTCGGCCAGGAGTGGCTGAAGGGGAGGGACTGCATGCTAGGCTGGGGTGCCGAACAGGACAAGACAGGGGTCGAGAAAAAGAGGGAAAAAAAAGACCGGAAAGGTATGCAGAATGCACAAGGGCGAAGGAAGGCTGCTTCCCGCGGGGAACCAGACCGATCGAAAAAGCGGTTCGAACGGTATGAACTCCATATGGCGAGCGGCGTTGTTCGTCAGCCTCTTTCGTGTCCGTACCCCAGGCGTTCGCCCTTTTGTTCATATCCCGGGGGAAACTACTGTTGTGAGCCCATTCTAGTGCAAGTGGATTGGCTGTCCTCTAAGGTGTGCACGCGTGACTGCTGCGTTGTCTGTGCGACCGGACGCCGCGCGGAAACGTGCTCTCAAGCTATCTACATGAGATCAAGGAGGGGGGGTCGGACCCCTCATAACTCATAACTCTCGGGTGCGTTCGGGCGATCCAAGCGGGTGTCGCGCTCTCTGCCGTGCAGGCTGCAGGCCCCAAAACGGCAACCAGCCGCGTATGCACGTCACACAACGAACGGCAGCCAAGCACCAAAGAGAGGGGGGCATCACCACACTACCACCCCTACGACGCACAGCAATAGATAGTTCCCCTTCAGCGGTACAACACACAACAAACCGAGGCGATGCATGGAGAGGCCACGCCACGTTACCCTGTAGAAACTTGTGCACGTCTACGTTTTCCATCCAGCGAAATCCCCCACACCCCGGGTATCTTTCTACACAGCAATACTTATATACTCGGAGTAGCGGCAGCGTCACCGGAGCCGAGCAAATCGTCCCGAAGCCCGTCCCTACCTCGACCAATACAACCACAAAAACGTGTTTCCACAATTTAAGGACTCGAACACTGGACGACAACCTCACCCTTGCTTTCTGCTGTTCCGTCTTCAGCAAGTCCTTTTCGAGAATGTCTTCAGCCAGGTTCATGATCTCGCTGATCTTCTCGGACCTCTCCGCGTTGAGCTACCATGTCGAGCAAATAATCATCCAAGGTTCACGGTGCAGCGCCAACGAACCACATTGTGTTCAGAGAAGCGTTACATAATGAAAGAAAGCTTCGCTGTACCAAAGCACAATGTGCTTGGTGCCCATGTCTCCTGCAGCAGTAACGTCTTCACCTCTAACGTGGTTAAAGGTCGTTTCATCTTCCATGCGGTTTCATTTGCATCACTTGATGTCTACGGTACCTCAAAGGTATCTCGTCTTTGTGAACACCTCGCTTCATTTTTGAAGATGGTTTTATCCTCCCACGATAGTAACCGAAACAGTAGAGTGAGTAGTGGCAATGAGTGCCTAGCATACTTCGCCGGTGTTGCGGGTATGTAGCTCCGGCCAAAACTTGTACAAGTAAGGCCTTACAACGAAGACAAAACGTCGCGACCGAAAGAAACGGAGAACGCACACTCCAACTATTTTTCCTGGCGTCAAGTAGTGGACGTGTAGGGGATCTCCGGGATTCGTTACCCATTGCCACTTGGTCCAGTTCTACCGTCTGTAGCGGACACACGTCATCGAATATACTTGAGCAGAGAGGGAGGTCTAGAATTTCAAGAGGGCAGGAACGAGTATCACATGTCGGACTCGAAGGCAATTGTAACATAGGAAAAGGACAAATCGAGTACTGCGGATGGAACCTCGGACCTCGGTAGGGCGGGGGGGCGGGGGGGGGCACGAGGTCTGGTAGAAGGCCGAAAATCGACGGCACAATAGTGAAGGGTGACGGTTGTAAAGAGCCAAGAGCCAAGAAACTACTGTGACTTACGGTGGACTCTGCGACGAGCGCATCCAAGCCGCTCATGAACGAAGGTGTCGATTTCTTCTTGTTCTGCGTTGAAGAAGCCTTGTCCTTGCCTTTGCTGCCAGGCCGGCTGAACAGCGTGCTAAACGTGCGGTTTCGGGGTAAAAGCGGACATCCGTGACGTGTTTACTAAGGGGGGCACGGGGGAGGGAATAGGGGAATGCAAACACTTTCGATCGAGGTGCATAAGACACCGCCTTCCATGTACGGGGAACCCCGAGCGGAGCGTGACGTGGGAACTTCCACATGGCCTTCGGCTCACGAACGCACGCCCTCGCCTGCAGTGTATCACATGCGGTCTTGGGGCAAGCGTGTGCTGCACAAGGAATTTCGATGTCGGTCTTTGTGTGTGTTTTCATTCATGAGGTAAGGTTCAAGATAGGTCTACATGTAGCGAGTATCTATTGTGTGCGGCGTATCGAACAGGAGGAGAAAACCGTCTTTTGTGGTTCAACAGAGTGGGACAACCAGCCCAGAGAGTTAAGATTTTTTTCACATGGAAATCTCCCTCACTTTCTCCCTCTCTCTGTCTCCTCTCTCAATGCGCGATGCAACGGCTGGCGCATGGCCATGGGGCGAGGATTCACATTACTTAGGTTTTGAGGCGGGGAAACGAGAAAAGGGCCATCTCTACTTGTACCTGTAGGGTTGTGTAGACTAGGGTTGTGTAGACTACCGTAGTACAGAACGGGCCCGCAATTAAGAAAAAATCTGTTCAGAAAATGAGGCTCAAATGTTCACGAAAAATAAGAAAAAATGACTAAATAAGAAACACAGCTCAATCTCGACCACAACATAAGAAACGTCCCAATAAGAAACATGACCGTGCGATACCCCCAACACATGAGAAACAAGGGATAGCTGGGAGTGTACATAGTAAAGTACAGACTTCAGCAGCTGGTTGCGCACTTTTCGAAGCCCACAAGCAGGAAAGGGGGAGGAGGGGGAGGGACGGCAATATCTAAGACTTCATCTTCATCGGTCCTAAACTACCATCCCAGGCTTGCCCCAGGCAGCCAGGCCCAACCTTGCAACCTTACGCCGTGTACAAGCGTTTGGCAAGGGCAGTCAATATCAATGTGTACCATACCAGATTTAGTGAACGGACATGTTTGAAATTCAAAATCGGGATGCTGCTCTTTTTTTGAGGGTGCATTTTGCTACAATCCAGTAGTCGCAGCCAGTAGACCACTTCGTCGCTCACCTGTCCGGCATATCGAAGTCATCGTCGGTGTCTGACATGATTTCCCGGAGCTTTCTGCAAACAGAGCAGAGGTATCACACCTCTGCTGCTCTGTGCTGGCTGCAGGCCAGGCAGGCTGGCGCGCTGTTCAAAGGCCATCCAGTGGGGGCACCGCGAAGGGTAAAACATACGTTCACCTCCAGATCGTGTGCCCCCCACAGCAAGCTTGAGATGGACAGGAGGGGGCTGCTCCTCTGCTGCTACATCACCACGAGTAGGCGGCGGCCTCAGCCCCACATCCGGAAGGCGATGGAGATGGAGGAGTGCTGGTGAGACCCAGTTCAAAGACACGTTGTCCTGTCACTGATCTCTCTCCGGAGGTCTTCCACACTTGAACACATGCATTCGTTTTTGTTTTTTCCCGGTTTTCTCAGGCTGTCTCTCTCCCCTGCCTCGAGCGCAACCTACAGCAGTAGCAACTCGTGATCAAGAGTTATTTCAACGTCAGAGGCCTTTGGCAATTGCGCTCTCGCCAATTAGTGAAACCGCATATTGTTGTTTTTGCTTTTTGCCCGCATTTTATTTCCGTATTTGGCCGCCAATTCCTCAAGGAAAACGCCGGTTCGCCGGTTCGACGACAATCCTTCCGCACACCGTGTGAATGTGTGCATGTAGCCATGTCCCACTCACTGCTGTAAAGACTAAGACCCAACACATCCCCTTAGACTGTGGTATCATCTCGAATGAGTGGTCTTTGATTGTAGGTGCATTTTCTAATGCTTGCCGAGAACAAACACCCCCCCCTCTAGAACGCGCACGTGCCTCACTACATACCACGACTGCTGTCCCCTAGGCGAGGGATTACATTGGACCCCAGTATACCCCCCCCCCGCCCCTAAAGTCTGCCCCGCCGTTCAACAACACGACACAGGGATACCGACACGGAGGTAGACGAGGTCAACGACGACAACATCGGCCCTCTTCTGGCAGCTCAACCTGACCTCCCTACTACAGCGGCGGCAACAGCAACAGCAGCAGTGCCATCACCGAGCGAAAGGGCCGCGGCGGCCTGCTTGCCGCACGCGACCGGCGCCCACGAACAGCAGCAGCCTCCGCAGCAGGTTCCAAGTGGCGGCAGAAGAAGTGCTGCTTCTTCTTCTTCTGCCACTGGACCAACTGGTGGCACCGGCGGCATTCCTCGCACCCCGAACTCCGACGCTAACGGTGCTACGCTCGCGCGACTAGTGTCCACATGGGGGCCGGTGACGTCACAAGACGGGTGGCGACAGGCCGCCGCCGCCGCTGCCGCAAGCCCTGCCTCGATGGGTGGTGTCGGCAGTGGTGTTGTGGGCCAAGTCCGGCGTGGGTTTCGGGATGGATTTAGTAGCAGTAGTAGTGAAACTTCTGCGCATCGTGGCGTCCCACAAGGCGGAGCAGCAAGAGGAGATCGCGTTGGCGGCACACGAGCCAGCACAACGAACAGGAACTCCGGAGGGGGGGGGGCGCAAGACGGGGACAGGGGCAGGGATCATCTCGAGGACGTAAGTGAGGGCGGGGGCGGCAGCAATGGTTTATTGGCGGTGGGCTTGCCTTCGGGCTTGAGTTTGGGCTTGGGTGGAGGGGCTGAAGCAAGCTTAACCGGGATGAGCAACAACAGCGGCGGCGGCGGCGGCGGCGTGGGAGAGCCGAGTAGCTCGGGCTCTTCTGACAGCAGCAATGAGGATTCTTCTCCCGGTGGTGAGATAATCTTGTCGTATCATAGCCTGACCACTCACGCCTGCACCTTTATTTTCATGCCTGTCCCTGGGTCTCGTTATGGGATGGCAGTGCCTAGTGATAATTCCAACGTTTCTTGTGCTGGTGGCTCCCTGCGCTTTGCTCTGCTCTATTCCTGCTGGAAGCAGGGGTGGAGACTAACCCGCCGGAGGAACTGTTGAGAGCTCTCGTCGGCGCTCGCATCACGATCGCCCTGTTACTGCTGCTCATGTGTCACTACATCGTGACGCACCTCTTGGGCATCGCTGCTTTCAGCATGGGCACAGCTATCGTTGTGGTGTTGGACCAACGACTCTGGTCCCACTCTGGCGCACAGGTGCGCGTACTAATCCTGATGGTCCGTCTCGGGTTCTGTTTAGAACAAAAGTTTACCCTCTCTCTTGTCCTTACCCCGTAGTCAGAGAAGCGTTTCTGAACCGGTTTGAAACTCTCGAAATTCCTCCGACACTGCTGTTGACACTGCTTTCCTCTCCTCGTGCGCAGGGCGAGAGTCCCGGCTGTAGGCTGGTACTTGTTCCACGTTTCGATGATTAAGATGTAGACAAACAACAATTACGGGCCTAAAATATATCTAACCCCCGGACGTGACGCTGCCCCCCCCCCCCCCCTGCTCATCCGTACAGACCCTAAGGAATAGGTTTGTGCTTTTGGGCGTGGCAGTGACAGCAGTGGTCGTTGTTGCCCTGTCGGCGACGGTCCTCAGCAACTTTCCACAAGGAGGTACGGAAGCCGATTCGCCATCTCCCTTGTTCTGTGCATTAACAATTATTATCTAGGCCTATTAGGTTACGTGCCGACCCCGTGCGCGTTTTCTGTGGCTCGCCCGAAAAAATTGATTTGGAAGAGGAAGACTCGACACGCGGCCGTTCATTTTGCGTTTGCAGCTGGTGAGGTAAAATTAGTGCGCTTGACCACTGCCTTTTGATGCGTGGGCGAAGGGTGCGTGCCGGTATGTACCACACGAGACCCTGAACGTGCATTTCCTTGCCCGATTTCAACCGGCCCCCCTTTTCCCCGCAACCTTCGACCTCTCTGTCTCTGGCCGACCCCACGCCACCCGACCCGACGTCACGAAAACCACAAACTATCGGCCGGCAACGGCGACGACGAACTCCTCCACACGACCAAAGAGGGGCTGCTTCGAAGGCTGCTCTTGGTGGCTCCGAAGCCGCCAGCCCTGGGCACCGCCTCCGCCGTGATCCGCACCACGATCGTGGTGGACATCTGGGCCCGCCTCCTGAGCGTGACGGTCAAGGCCGTCCTGGCCGTCGTCTCCGTGCCCGATCGCGACCGCAGCGGTAACGGTAGCACCAGCGGCAGCAGCAGCAGCACCAGTGGTACTATCAGCAGTGGCGGTGGTGGCGGTGGCGGGAGGGTCAGCCGGCACGGCACCGGGCTGTTCGCCAGGGTGCGGTCCGCGGCCTCGTACCGCTTCCGCCGCCGCTTCGGCATCCGGGCAGGCGGCAGGGCGGAAGGGAGCGGGGGGGGGGGGCACAGCAGAGAGTCCCCGCACCCGCGGGCGGCGGCGCGGAGCTCATCGTTTGACGCCAACGAAAGCAGGGGTGGCGGCGGCAGCGGTATCAGCAGCAGCGGCAGTGATGCCGGCGGCGGCGGCGGCGGAGGAGGCCGGCTATCGAGCGGCGCGCGGCGTGCGTGGAGGAGCTGGTTGTGCTGCTCGGAGAGATTCTGCGGCGGGCCGTGCCGGTTCGAGGGGAGGGGGCGGTATAACGTCGTTGGCGGGCAGAACGACGGGCGGCATT